TTGATGTTAAGCTATATTTTTACTAATATCTAAAATATATAAGAGCTAGACACACAAACATTAAACTTGGCCAAGTATTTATCAGAATATATAGTAAAATGAAAACAGTTGAATGAATATTTTTTGACTTATTACACTAACAAGCCATAGTTAACATAACCGACGACAGACGTCGTAGACAGAAACTTCCCCCTCCTATACCTAACCCTTCTCATTTATGATTCGGGCAAGGTAAACATTATTGAACCATTTATCATTTAGGTACGTACTTTGCGTGTTATAAATAGTTAGAAGATTTTAAAGTTTGAAGTTGCAAAATGTTTGCGCGTGACCTGCTTTCAGTTGCTTATTTTTTGGCAATTGTTTTCTTTCAGGCAGATTTCACCGCCACGAAATAAGTTCTGGGTAAATCAAGGAAATACACGCTGTTACGGCACGCCTGATTGGCTGAAAATGAGTATGCGCACTTGAGTTACCCAGTACTCTGTGCGAATCCCCCTTGATTCTTGCTGCTGGTCATTTTCGTTCATGAAATTGTCGGATATCATCAGAAAACGCGGGATTTGTGCAGTTTTGAATAAAACTAAGTTAGCGATTATGAACAATGGTTATTAACGTAACACCTGATCCCCTCTAAAATTGTTGTTTCGCATTTTAAGGTAAGAAATCGAAATTTAAAACCGACAGGGTGTCGATTTACTAGGTGCCGTGTTTCACAACTTGTTTATTTATATACGTATAGCGGATGATTTTTTTTTTAATTAGTATTTATTGATTTTCAGCCCCAAGTGACTGTGACGTGAAATACAATGAAATATAATTCTTGTATTTGAAAAAAAAAATGTACATTCTAATAAAATTTACAGTTCATACTAATAATATAAATAAAACATAATATTGAAAAGGTAATCAAAAAATAGCAACAATCGCAATTATTGTACATGACAGCAAAATGCCGTCACTACAGGCACGTCTATACATGTTCACAGCTGAAATCTGACATTATTATGTGTGACTTTGTAACATCCAATGAGCAGACCTACATTTGTACCAAAGCTTACATTGCTGACTTAACATCTCGTGAAAATCGTTGACGATTGACCTTCATTTGTTCCGTCCAATGTTTTATTTCAATGGTCTACAATTTAATTAAAAACAAGTGTTTGAATACACAATGTAGTTTTCCCTCAGGCATCACCCCCCTTTAGTCAAGTACGTTCGCCTGACCTTCTCATGACCTCGAGCGCCCGGAGCTTTGATAAAAAATATTGGTGATGACACTGAATGCAAATTGCATGCAATATGTCTGGATTTAATGATACATTACAACCATTGGGAATGCCACGTTTTAATATCGACGGACTCATCCAGTCATCGCTGATGGCAAAATAAGCTTTAATTACATATCAATAATAATTTATTAAGTACGATATTGAACATTGTGAAAAATCATAGTATATGGAACGAGCAAAATATTCTTCATGTACAATAATTATCAAAATTTAAAAAAAAATAAAAGAATTTTTAATGACAATTCCCAGAATTTATTTATTTTGCAATAAAATGTTTCCTTTAAAAAAGTTTAGGTCACCAGTCTATTTTCTGGAGAAAATTGTATTTTAGTGAATATCGGTCATTTTGTCAGTATTAGAGCACTTTTACGTTGGTGTCTGGTGGAAATATTATGCCGTATCTAAAATTGCAGGCTATATATCGTGACTGGTAGGTACTTTTTGTTATCCGGAATTATTTCAGAAATCTGGGTTTTTAAAAATTACAATTTTAAATCCATTTTTAACACAGTTGTACAACACAGTTTTAATTCTATTTTTATTTTTTTATTTTATTTTATCACATTTCAAAACATCTCGTCCAAATTCAAAATTGCATTAAGTGCATAACGGGCAGAAACATGTCAAACAAATATGATTAGATGACAGATTTTGTTGAATAGCTCTCGTGTGCTTCAATGCTTTACAAAACAAAGCGACATTTGTCAATATAAATAAGTCAGTAGATCGTAACAACGTATGTATACATTTAAGTATAACGTTAAAAGATACATCTAAAAGTTATACCGGGGCAGAACAGCTGACATTCATCATCGACTCCGCTCGTATTACTGAATTTCACAAACTTTGTAATTCACATTTACCCATTATGGTTTGTTTTCATTTACAAAATGAAATGGGTAATATAATTCCTGCATATATCATTTTACCAAACCACCGTATTACTACAGTGTGAACGCAATAGAATATTCGTTAATTTGTCCAGGGTCATTAGTTGAGCAAATAATGTCACGAAAATAAACACATCGACCTGTTTTGTTAATAAAATAAATAAATAAAAACATTCAGATGTTTCCATATAGTTTTCAAGATGTTTATGCCATGGTTTGTCTCAGACAAAAAGAAAGTTGTTACGTCGAAAATTCTGTAACAGGCGTAAACAGATCTATTCTGGTGTCATGTTTGTCTATATCGTGTCATTTCAGGTGACTACAATATCAGAAACTCCGCCGAGATTATGTCAATGAATCTTCACTCACAAATGCCAACCGAAAGCAATATAGGATTTCTTTGCAGACATCCGGTATAAGGATCGGCCAAATATTTGCAAGAATATGCCAGCTGCAGGCTAATATAAAGGGAAGATTAAAGGGGCACCTTCCAGTTAAGATTAATTTTACAACAAATTTACTTTCTGGATTAAAATAACAATGGATAACAAAAGATAGATTAACATTGTAAATAACATAAATAATAGTGTCCCATGATTCTTTGGTGCAATCCAAGGGATTGAGCGGTTCCCCTTTAAGTTTAAATCAACACAAGTGTGATCATGACGAAATGTATTTAAATTTAAACATGGCAAAAAAGCATTGAAATCAATATTGTTACAGACGGACTATTCAAAATTTCAAACTTTGTCAATTCAATTAAACTGTTTGCTCAATGTTACGTAGGTTAGGGACGACGTCGAAAGATCGATGTCGGATAAAAAAAAAAATATTTGCTTTAGTTTGGGGTTGGGGGGTTGACCTCAAAAAGTTTCCATCCTACAAAAACGATTTTATTTTTTAATGAATTCAGAAAAATCTTGGAGTATTTGTAGTTCGTTTTTTTGGCTATCCAATCATGAACAAAAATAACAGAAAATGAAAAAAAAACTTCCAAGACGAGAAAATGGTTTGGAGTGGAGTCGGGTGTAAATATGTGCATCACATCACAGAGTCCGATTATCAATGTAGTCTGACGCCATGATCAATATTTATCGATTAAGTTTCAGTGGGAGGGGGAGGAACTAAACGAATTAAGTTGTTTGTCCTACATTGAACTTTTGATGTTGTTTCTCACGTAAATCATTATGTGTACATTTCATCAGCACGGAAACAATGTAACCGCACATAAGCGTGTATCAGTGAAGACAAAGGAATATTATAAAGTCACTGTAATCGAATCCTCCGACCATTGTCTTGTTGTTCATAGCTCTGTGATCAAAAGTTCGTATTTCTGATGTTGAACCCACCCCAAACAATTATAGAATGATCCAGCACAGAATAAGTCCAAATGCAAATATTATAACAAATTTATTGCTGTCAATGAAAACGAAAAAAGTACTTGCCTTATTTAGTTTTATTTATGTTGCCAATTTATCAATTATTTAAAGGAAATGCATACTAAATAAAATGTTATAAAAATGCCCTTATATGGCGAAATCCCGAAAATTTAAATTTCTTTTGACCTAATTAGCGGTTATCGCGGAGCACATGAAGCAATATATATATAAAAGCCCAGGCTGTTTTGAACGTTCTCAATCACGAGACCAAAGTCGAGCGAAACAATTTACCGCTGTTTTTACCATGTTTTGCATATTTGTGAGCTAAATTTATAGATGAAAAAATATCATGATTACATAATACCAATAATCTGAGAATCGACTACTTTTGAATTGTAATAACTATATACATATTTAATAGATAATAAAATAATTTTTCGGATTGTAAGATATTTGCTTTGGAAAGTTTTCAATATGACCTTGATTGGTAAACATAACTTAGATGACGACAAATACCGTATCTTATTCATTATTTATTCTAAACAGAGAGCGCTCGTTCATTTGTCAAACCTTGCGAGATCTCGCGGGGTGATGGAAATGATTAATTGTCGGCTATATGTGCATTGCGCATGTTTACGCTAGTGGCCACTCATCTATGCAATTACTATGTCTTGAATTGGGAACTTTAAAACAAAGATTAAATAAATATACTGTAATAAAGCCCAAATGTATTTGTTTGCCATAGTGATTATATCAAGCTGCGGTACATGTGACTATAGCCACGTTCAAATTTCGACCTCGTTACGATTACATATGTCAACGCTATCTAGCATACCTACATGTACACATCTCACTTTCTGTTCAGAAAGACATTTACATTTATGAATAAGGAAGTAAGAGTAATTCTATGTCAAAGTTAATAGGTGCAAGGTAAATTTAAACTATGAGCAGACAGGTATTCATAATTATACTGGATGATTGTAAACCAAGTATTGGTATAACTTTGATATAAGCAAGCATCTATTCACGTTCACATAACGTTCGAAAATTTGAAAGAGAGCTGTACAATGTGTATTTTTAGTTAATATTAAAAAAAATGTCATAAAGTGTATTTCAGATAAGACTTGATGTCTTATTTAAAATCTATAAACCTTCCCAGGCTGCTAGAAAATGAGATGTATGTTTTAGCAGCCCACGATACATGTGTTTATACAGTGCATCAACATGCCAATCCGCTACTCACAATCGTTTTTTTCATCCACTATCTACTCTTTCTATACATATATAGTTCATACTTGTATTGCATATTTGACATAAAACATGTATTGATTGTTTTACAGTCTATTGTGTCCTGGATGTATGTTATTATTAGTTTTAGCATGTGTGTGTGTGTGTGTGTGTGTGTGTGTGTGTGTGTGTGTGTGTGTGTGTGTGTGTGTGTGTGTGTGTGTGTGTGTGTGTGTGCGTGTGCGTGTGCGTGTGTGTGTGTGTGTGTGTGTGTGTGTGTGTGTGGCCGTCGATTAAGCACACAATCCAACTGCGATAACTAAATAATGCTCTTGTTGTTTCAACCAATAGGCGTAGTTTAAA